TTCGAAGAAACATTTTCTTGGGGAAAATTACAGAAAAAATTTAAAGTATCGCTTACTTTGTACTCTGATACAATTGTCATCGGTTTTCGTTTTCTCGGGAAATAAGACATTTTTTGACGCGTTTTCAGCTTCCTAAACTATAATAACGTAACGTGCATGTAACCAGGAATTATCAGATTTTTGCGGTAAATTTCTAGACCGGAATTTAAAAGTATTTTACATGTAATGTTGAAACAATTCTGCTCCTTTGTGGTAATTTCAAGCATGCTCTGCACATGACACAATAGCCTGTCTTCAAAATATTGCCATCTTATTTCATCTGTTCATTGTACAGGTTAAATTTCACGGATTTTCGCTGGCCATTGCCGAGCAGGCAAGGTAAAAAAGAAAAAGTAAAAAACTTAAAAGTAACGATAATGATAGATAGATAGACTGAGAGAGTTTGCGTGAACATTTAAAACACATATTAATATTCATAATTGTCTGAAACATTTCACAATTTTATCATCCAAGAAAGAATCTTTTCCAAACGTGACAGCCAACGTCTCTTTCTTTGGAGGGATACTCGTGGTCGCAAAGTATTGTTTCTGACCTTGATAAGGTGGCCTGAGTGTTTTCTTCGTGATTCACCACCCGTTGATCTGATTTAGATAACCTTGAATTTCTTTTAATATCCAACCAGTCTTAGCTCTCTATACTGGCTTAGACGTTATTAAATTTTCACGAGTATGTGGATTTGAATTTATTTTCCATCAAATTTAAAAATTACAAAACAAATAGCCCTCCAAGCAATATCTCCTGTTTGGTATTTGGGAGATTTTTGACTTTTTATTTATTTATTATTATTTTTTGTATCTAGATTTGCCGTTACTCTATTTTGTTATAGGCCAGCAAAACTAAACCACTGGAAGTCCTAGAAAAGTCCGTGTAGAACAGAAAAACATTTCAGTCTGATTCGAAAGCTAATGGTATCTGAATAAATCAATGTCTTGAGTGCCAGATATCTATCGCCCATCGGGGCAAAACACTTTTCCGTGCCCAGTTCTCCAGGCAATCCATTTGCACTTGAGATCAATCTCTTCCACTTTCAAAGTTGTCAAATAATTAACTTTTTAAGAAACACCCTATTCAGTTTAAAAGTTAAAGCCACTTTTAATTAAGAAGTAAAGTTTTTTTCCTTTTAAGAACAAAAGTAACAAATACGACTTTCACTTTGTTTAATAACTAAACAGTTTTACCTATTTGTTTATTGCTCCATTCATGACAAGATCTATTTTTCTTTATTCGTATTACACAGCAAATGTGAAAATCGCTTTTAATTGAGACAGTGAGACAGGTCCATTAAGCTGGAGGCATTCTGACCTTAAACTGCTATCACAGCCGTGATAGCAGTGTCTCAATACCAGAGCTATTAATTCACTCCGTTTTTTTCGTTTCTAAAAGCCATCGACACCCTTACATTGCGCCGTGTGTTTATAACCAATAACCTTTCAGGACTCGACACAGATATTCACTTTTTCACTTCCAACATTCTAAATTGGCCTTGAACAAGACGATCAGGAACTCTTAAAATACAGACTTTAAAAATCTATTGCCAATCTTTTAAAAGCATCCGCTTGCGCGCGTTGCTCTATTTATGCGGATGCGTACGATAAGGTATTAATTTTTGGTTATGGACTTTTAATACTGCGGGTATTTTAACATCTCTAAGATGCGGTTTCGCTATGAACGACCACCCTTGATTTCAGTTAGATAACTGTTAAAATCCCTGCTGTTAAGCCCGTTACTACCTGGAGCCAATCTACATACGGTTTAAAAATCATTAAATTTTCATTAAAATGTTCTTACAGATTTTAACAATAATTTTGTGCAAAATAAAAAGTGTTGCCTGAAGCAACAGAAAAAAAAAAAATAAATAAATAAATACGATTTTAGGTTTTGACGTTGTGAATCAAACAGATTGTTCAATTATTCTAACATTGCTTACAAATGTTTGTGTTTACATTCTCAAATGAAAAACCGTCCAAGTTTTCATGGTGACCTCAATATGCAGACGGTGCTCTCTAACTTATAATCTGAGAAAACGCAACGGAGACACCGACCTTGTTCATTCTATTACTTAGCTTTATCAGTCCATGATCCTCGTGGGTTCTTTTAGCCTAATCAATTGTTCTTAGTGTACGTCGGTCTTCAGGTAATGTAGTCAGATAAAACACTTTCCATTAAAAGCTGATTAAATTGATCCATTAGTATCGTCTCTGTATGCACTTCTCGAAAATGTGAAATAATTGCAAATATTCTAAGTTGATATTTTGCTTCTGGAGAAAACAGAATTTAAACGATCAGATTGTACATGATCTATTTTTCTTCCTAACATAAAGTATCTGCGCAAGCAGTCGTAATATGAAATATAGTGAAATAATATGGAACGGATAATTCCAAACGGACAGACAAACTAAACTGCTTTTCGAAGACTATTATGACTGGGTTTTGGAATTTGTTTTCCTCACCCTTCAAGCTGCGTGTAGATTCTCTTAACTGAAGCTGCCATACAGGCCTAAAGGTACGTGTTTGTTAGTGAAAACTTAATCCAATGATTTACTTTATGTTAATATTATAATTTGTTTTGTTAAATTTCGCTTTCTCAAATTGCTACTGATGTCATGTTTAAATTTTGAAAGCTTTATTTGATGTCGATTTCTTTGCCCTGCGTTGTAGAGACAGTTTTCTAACGTGAGTATAAAGCCGTAGTCTTCAGTAAAGAATCTGATTTAGTTGCAATATACGTTTTTAAAACTAAATAGCTCCGGTGTATTTCTTCAACCAGACAGAACCTCAACTCTTTCATTTATCACCGACAGTGAGAGTTGCCAAAACAAATTTTTAAAATTAAAAGGTTCCCCCTACCTTCAGAGCTTTTATTTGTTCCCATTGAGGTTTCCCTTGGTGAAGCCGGAAAGTTCAAAGATCTTTTGAATTGCCTTCACGTTAGTACCAACGATGCGGCCAAAATAAACAGCAGCCAGTTTTGAAGACTAATTAAGCCTGTCATTGGTTTATTTAAAATTTATGAGTATTGGTTAATTAGGAGAAATTTGTGGCTGGATTTTCCCAGGGTGTCATTTCTTTATCCAATCCAAAGTATCCATTTTGGCAGACGGTTTGTTCAGATACGGATGAGCCGCCCGGGGGGAGGGGACGTTGTTCAGCCTTAAAAGTCCACAGTGGGAGCTTTTGCGGTACGTTTTAGGGTATTGAGCCGAAAATAATAAAACAGGAGATGTGTTGTTATAGAATTGGTACCTCTTCGGAGTGAAAAAATTTCAAGCCACGCCCACAAAACAAGATCTTGGTTCCTCTTGGGGGTTCTTTTCATCCCCGTTCTTCTTATATGGGAGTGTCTCCTCGGGAAAAGCCGCACCTCCCCCCGGTAAATTGTTATTTCTCTTCGACTTTTCAAATTAAGGGAGCATAAGGATTTTAGTCTTCATGTGGCGAGCCTCATTATTAGAATTTCATCTTGTGCTTTACTTTCCCTAGATGTGTTTTGTTGCAACAACTGAGTGTGATTAATATTTCTTTGGTGTTAAATTTTAAACGAGCCTTTTTTCTGTTCGACGGCACATAAATTAGCATCACCGCTGAAAGCAAAATAGACCTTTGCATTTGTGCGCCCCGACCTTGTGAATCAAAGTTTAAACCGAACTGATAAAATTTTGCTAGAAGTTATTTGTATCAGTGAAGGAAAAGAGAACGTAAAAGGTACATTAACTACAGTAGTATATTTTAAGTACCTTCAATACACTTGAATTTATAAGAATCAGTGGAGGGGTGAAAATGGGTGCTGTGCACGAGTGTGGACAGCGGTATGTGCATGAAGGACTGGGTTCGCCCTCGTCGAGTGATGTCGTAGGAGAAATTGTGCACAAAGGAGGGAAACATGATAATATATACAGTGCAATGGATTGTGGGATATCTATCGTTGTTATAATATTCATTTATTATTTTCGGTACTTAGCTACTCAGTCAAACCTATATGGTGGGCAAATCATATGAAAGGCGTCAGTCTCTCACAACAGATAAGAACTCTTAAAACTAGCGAGCTTTGGAAAGAAATTGAGTTTTTTAACCAGAAAGACAGTCTTCTCCCCGACAAAACGGTTAAGCAAAATAGCATATTTCAGCAAAATATACTGTTCGAGCAACTGAAATTCTGATTCATTGCGTGACTTGTAACCTATTTGTACTCGCTTGTTATGCAAATCCAGGAGTCGGAGAACATTTTAATCCGCCACGTCAGTTTTGTTTCTTTCGAGGCCCTGCTTGCCAGATAAAGTCCAGTAACTATAGGTAACGTATGATATCAAATGTGGATATCGTGGATATCATGCTCAGGTTATTGTGCGTGTTGCTTTTCAGCATTGTTCAGCCGACTGACGGCGACAATGACGCCGTTTCGTGTGGAAATTTCATGCAGGATTGGTATCCGGGTGTAAAACCTCAGTCTTCTGTTGCTCCTTACGCGCTTGAAGTATCCGATGAAAACGGTGGTTTCAGTCAATGGTCGTGNCTGATAAAATTTTGCTAGAAGTTATTTGTATCAGTGAAGGAAAAGAGAACGTAAAACGCACATTACCTACAGTAGTATATTCTAAGTACCTTCAATACACATGGATTTATAAGAATCAGTTACGGAGGGGTAAAGATGGGTGCTGTGCACGAGTGTGGACAGCGGTATGTGCATGAAGGACTGACACCGCGTCATGCCGGGGATGGGAGGGTGGGCTCGCCCTCGTCAAGTAACGTCGTAGGAGAAATTGTGCACAACGAAGGGAAACATGATAATATATAGAGCGCAAGGGATTGTGGGATATCTATTGTTATTATAATATTCATTTATTATTTTCGGTACTTAGCTATAGAATAGTTAACGTTTATTTAAACCTGTTTAATGTTCACAGTGGCGTCAGTCTCTCACAACTGATAAGAACTCTTAAAATTAGCGAGCTTTAGAAAGAAATTGAGTTATTTAACCAGAAAGAGAGTCTTCTCCCCAACAGAACGGTTAAGCAAAATAGCATATTTCAGCAAAATATACTGTTCGAGCAGCTGAAACACTGATTCATTGCGTGACCGTAAACTATTTGTACTCGCTTGTTATGCAAATCCAGGAGTCGGAGAACATTTTAATCCGCCTCGTCAGTTTTGTTTCTTTCAAGGCCCTGCTTGCCAGATAAAATCAAGTAACTATAGGTAACGTATGATATCAAATGTGGATATCATGCTCAGGTTATTGTGCGTGTTGTTTTTCAGCATTGTTCAGCCGATTGATGGCGACAATGCCGCCGTTTCGTGTGGAAATTTCATGCAGGATTGGTATCCGGGTGTAAAACCTCAGTCTTCTGTTGCTCCTTACGCGCTTAACGTATCCGATGAAAACGGTGGTTTCAGTCAATGGTCGTGGCGTTCACCAACATACGGATCTAAAACAGTTCAAACAGGTTCGTATCACACGATGTTGGTTCAGTGTTGTTTGTGCGAGTGTTTTGAGAACAGCTTTGTTGATAATTAAGATTTATGCATGCAAGCTGGTTCATGATCACCGTTTATTTTAATCGTGCGCCAGTAGGGCCAGAGAGCGGAGCGATGTCATCATGGTGTTTGAAAGATGAAAGATGTTATGTAAAATACAGGAACGACCCGCGTGTAAGAACCCAGTGGTTTAACAACCCGCTGGCAGAAAGTTGCCACTTAAATACCCAAAAATATAATTAAGAAACTGTTTAGCCAAGCAAGACCAAGAAGGTTGGTGTGGGTTACAGTTAAATTATGATAAACATTTTAGCCTAGGAGTGTGACTTTGAGATTGCAAATTGACATTACAAGAAAAGACATAATGCAGTGGTGAATAACTACTTTACATGCAAGGACCAAAGCCAAGTTTATTAATTTTTGTGGTAATCAACGACTATATCTTCGTAATATAATGTAAGAACCTACTTAGCCTAAATTGGCATTAACTACTCTCTATTACCCTATTAACTGCAAAATACAAGAACCCATTTTGCTAGACTGCTTCTTGGTTCTTGAACGTGCGGGTTTTACTTGTATTTAATATTGAATGTATAAAGAATAACTTGCATGGATAAGTTTTCGAGGGCAGCTGTCAACCATGTAAATTGTTTCCCCAGTCACGCAATGAAAAGATTAACCGAAAGCCATTAAGTGGATGAAGCAAAGAAACTGCGGCTTTATAGGAGATAAATAAAGAAGATACCTCCCCAAGCTCTAGGTCACTGCGGATTCCCAAACTTCAGATATTCGTCGAAAAGATTAGTGTTTCGAGCAAGCTAAGTATGGAGCCGCCATAGTGGTATACCTTGGTAGTGTAAGTGTATTTGAAGCGCTATTGAGATAAAGGGAAATAGCGCTATACAAATAAATTATTATTATCATTACTATTATTATTATTATGATGGTGATGATGATGATGATGATGATCATCATCATCATCATCATCATTATTTTCTNATATAATGTAAGAACCTACTTAGCCTAAATTGGCATTAACTACCCTCTATTACCCTATTAACTACAAAATACAATAACCTATTTATCTAGAGTGCTTCTTGGTTCTCGAACGTGCGGGTTTTACTTGTATTTAATATTGAATGTATAAAGAATAACTTGCATGGATAATTTTTCGAGGGCAGCTGTCAACCATGTAAATTGTTTCCCCAGTCACGCAATGAAAAGATTAACCGAAAGCCATGAAGTGGATGAAGCAAAGAAACTGCGGGATTATAGGAGATAAATAAAGAAGATACCTCCCCAAGCTTTAGGTCACTGCGGATTCCCAAACCTCAGATATTAGCCGAAAAATTAATGTTTCGAGCAAGCTAAGTTGGAGCCGCCATAGTGGTATACCTTGGTAGTGTAAGTGTATTTAAAGCGCTATTGAGATAAAGGGAAATAGCGCTATACAAATAAATTATCATCATCATCATCATCATCATTATTATTATTTTCTAGGCCACCGATTATCTGTTTTGGTCAAACAAACATTGATATATGTAAACACTTTACGTAATACTTTTACTTCACGAGATAAATATGTTTTTTGACAAACATGACCGTACTTTTCCGCAACTAGAGTCACTAGAAAATTATTTTAGAAACGCTTATTTGCTGGTGAGTGCTTATTTGTATGACTGGATGGTCTTAAACTCTGCAGGCAAATCGGTATTTGTTTGCTCCTTTAGTTCAAC